AATATAATATAATATAATATAATATAAGTAACCAACAGATTAGATATACTAATATGTGATATTGCCTGTGTGTCCTTCCAGATTGCCTTTGCAGCTTTAGGCAGTTGTAGCTCAGCCCACTATTAATGTTCATATTTTTTGCCACAAGAACCTATTGTGATCTTTCATTTAATAGAGCAGAACTTTGTTGTCATATTGAGGAAATGAATTATTAAATGCATTTTAGAGAACCCTGTGGAATAGTTTTATTCTGTATCAATATATATTAGTTCAAGTATTAGTTGATAGGTTGATAGATGTTAGATGTTACATTTCTATTTATACTAAATTGTTACGAGTCCATTAACTTAAAGTCCAAAAATAAGACTCTTATCACACAGACACTGATATCACTAAGGTCCTTTAAAAAATTGTGCTATAAAGCCTAGCTGGGCAAATGTTGCATGTAAACATTTAGGAGGTTAGAAAGACACTGAAAAGAGAAAAAGGGCACCTCCAAAACCCACAAGTAATAAATAATCAGATCTTTATCAGCTTCTCTGACCTTAGTATGACTCATGTCACATGAAATACTTCCCATGTAAAGGAGAAGTTAACAAGCTGTTTTCTGTCCAGATGTTATTTTTGTGAGACTTCAGTATCAGAAGGACTACAGTTCTGTCATGCCGAGGTAACCACACTGGGCATCAGGTATGGTCAGCCTGGCAGGAGAGGTGTAGGTGTGGGGAGATGAATTAATTTAGCATGTAACAAACAGATCCTATCTAGGGTAGTCCTAAAAAAAATGTCATCCTTTCTGGTGCGATCTGCAGAAATTACTAGCGGGAGAGTCGGATAAGTAGAGCCCTAGTGCAAACATCCTTCTCATCCCATCAATTGACCTGTGTCCACCAAATTTGGGGGAAGTTTTAGACCTTGTCCTACATCAGGGGTAGGAAAAGGGTGCAAAGGTGGTTAATATAAGGCAAGAATACTTCTCTTTTGGTATAATTTATTCACTAACTTTAATGGAAATAGCAGTGATTAGATCATTAAGAAAGGTTTTATGATTTGCATTATTAAATTCTGGAATTTATGCTGACTCTTCAACAGGAAAATGATTAATCTTCTGCAGTACCCCAAGGCAATAGTAAAATGGGTACTGTTGGAGGTGAATAGCCCTCCCTTAGTAGATAAAAGAACCATTCTTTTCTCTTTTTTTCTTTCTGTTACATGAAAAATAGTGAAAAATAAAGAACACGGCAGAACAGAAAAGGTTGTGTGAAGTAAATCCTCATCCTAAACTGGTTTTTGAAGGTCTGAAAACCACAGAGATGATTGTTTCATTTTATTTAGTTCAGGATGTTTACAATTTTGTAAACTTTGATTCGGTCTGAGAACTGAGAAACAAGGAGCACAATAAAGAAATGCTGTTCGTTTTTCCTCGCCTTTGTCTGGCGTGGCTAGGAGCAGGAAGCACTGGCCACCTCATCCCAGCATTTCATGTTGCATTGAAGCTTCCCTTTCAAATGCTTTTGCCCCAGGAAGTGTGAAGGACTATCCAAAATGACCTTCTGTGCGGAGATGGCAGCTGGTTTCCACCCCCTGTACCAGGAGGCCCATGGCAGGCAACCGCTCAGTGAGAACAACTGGAAATAGCATTAGAACAATACTTTTAACTCTTCCTCATAGCCACATAATTCAAAACGTGCCCAGACGTACTGTGCATGCATGGTCGAGCTTTCTGAATTCTGGCTTTGGGAGTTTGGGTATAAAACAGGTTCTGATAAAATACTGCTTACTTCAGTGTTTCTTATTGAAACAGGTCAACACTGAGGCTCAAATCTGCTAATACACAGCAAATGTTGGCTTTTCATTTTGGTGGGAGTCTCGTTAACAGATTTGGTACAGATTTCTGCCTTCCCTTCCTGTAGGTCTGACACCAAGAACAATAAATCAGGGGGATTTGGTTTTTTGCCCTCCACTGAAGGCTTTAATTCTGGAAACGGACTAGAACCAGCTCAAACAGCAATGCCAAGGCCCAGTCATTCTGGTAGTTGAAGTATTGTGGGTTTCCCCGAAAGTTAGTGGGGTGCTAAAAGGAGGTATTAACAGAGATTTTTTTGTGTCCTTGTGTTATCCTCATCACCCTAAAATAATTCAGATTGGGTGTGGTACTGTATGAATGAAACACAATACTGTAATTGCTCTTGGGTCATTAGGAAGGCCATACAGTGTACTGGTTTATTGTACAAATAATGCTAAAGCATCTGAAAATTCAGGCCATTGTAGCAAGATATATTTTTTCAATATTTACTAAAAGGATGACTTTGTGGAAAAAATAATGATGACTATCTCTCTTCTTTAAACAGATAACACAGCAAGTGTTCTTGTTAGACGTGAAGGATTTAGTCGCCAAAAGCAAGATTTATACCTTCTTCCTATTGTAATAAGTGATGGTGGAATCCCCCCTATGAGCAGCACCAACACCCTCACCATTCGGGTCTGCGGCTGTGACAGCAATGGCTCCTTGCTCTCCTGTAATGCTGAAGCCTACATCCTCAATGCTGGATTAAGCACTGGAGCTTTAATTGCCATTCTTGCTTGCATTGTCATTTTGTTAGGTAAAAAAAATTCTTTACATTACTCTTCTACCGTTGTTTGTGTTAAAAAATTAACCTTGTCTTCAGCTCCAAGATGGATAAATGAATCTTAATTTCTTAGCTTTCATTTTTAGAGAAGGTACTAATCTGCCTGGCTGAAATGCAATGTATGATAACTGAATAGCAAACACCAATGAATTTGTCTAGGTGTGCTCAGAGAATGTCCTTTTGCAGCCTAATATCAGTTAATCGGGGACACTGTTTAAAGGAGGTCATGACATACAGTTTTAAGTTTTGTGATCTTCCCTGGATGACAGGTTCCTTACTGAGGTCAGCCAGGATTAATGGCTCCTGCCAGCTCTATTGTGTTGAAGACAAATGAATGGCTCAGAAGACCTGCTTTTAAGAAAGTGCTGTAAAGCATTTCCTGATGATTTGAAAATGTTTATATAAAATGTTTTAATTTGCCCATGGTAATTTATAGTCTTTCTTTTCTTATGTATTTTAAAGTTATTTTATAGAAATTTGGAGTGAGAAGGAACACAACAACAAAGGCATGTGTTTTGAGGTGTTGCTTAAGAAAAATTCCATTTTCATGGCAATGAAATACGGAATTAGAGTTCAGCTTTGGGCGTACAGGGGAGAGTAAAGATTCATCTTTGTTTCGTTGCAGATATACGTGTGATTGGGCTGCTCAAAGGCAGTGCCACAGCGTTCGTGAAGCACTGGGAGCCCACAAATGCTTTTTTTGAATTAGTCTTGCAATAATGAGCAATTAGTAAGAGCAATGGCATTCAGCCCAAACAGAAAACCTCAAATCAGTATGTTCAATTCTATGTACAAACATCAATGCTTTTACCTAGCTAGGTATGCTAAAAATGCAGATGTTAACAAAAATACATAATGAACTGCAGCACAAAAGCTGAGGTTTCAGTGAATGCAATAATCTATTTATAAAGCAGATACTGTTTGAGAGTGCAGTCTAACTTGCTTTTTTTTTTTTTCCCTATAGTCATTGTAGTGTTGTTTGTAACACTGAAAAGACAGAAAAAAGAACCTCTGATTGTTTTTGAAGAAGAAGATGTCCGAGAGAACATTATTACTTATGATGATGAAGGTGGAGGAGAGGAAGATACTGAAGCTTTTGACATAGCTACTTTGCAGAACCCCGATGGCATCAATGGATTTATTCCTCGTAAAGACATAAAACCTGAGTATCAGTATATGCCAAGACCAGGGCTTCGGCCGGCTCCTAATAGCGTTGATGTTGATGATTTCATCAACACAAGAATACAGGAGGCTGATAACGATCCAACTGCTCCTCCTTATGACTCTATTCAGATCTATGGCTATGAAGGAAGAGGCTCAGTGGCTGGTTCACTTAGCTCATTAGAGTCAGCGACAACAGATTCTGATTTGGACTACGACTATCTACAAAATTGGGGTCCTCGATTTAAGAAACTTGCAGACTTGTATGGCTCCAAAGACACTTTCGATGACGATTCTTAACAATAAAGTTTAAGATTTGGCCTTAAGAACTGTGTCTGATGTTCTGAAGAATCCAGAAGAAATGTAAGCAGGTATTTTTTTAAAAATCAAGAAAAATCTCATTTAAACATTTAAGTTTGACAGAGAGGATTCCTTTGATAAAAAAGGACATAAAAGTGGTAAATACTGTGAAGTACCTTTTCCTACAAAAGGCAAATATAGAAGTTGGCTGCCAACTTCACTAGAGGAAAAAACCCACTTAAGAAATACAAAATATTTAAATGAAGGAAAATGCTAAAAGCAAACCTACAAATAAGGGAAATCTCTTATGTATTATGAACATCTAAATCTTTTATGTCAAAGAAGCTTCCACAAATTAGAAAATATAACAGTTCTGAGCTGTAATTTCGCCTTAAACTATGGACACTCTATATGGTAGTGCATTTTTAAACTTGAAATATGTAATATTCAGCCAGCTTAAACCCATATGATGTATGTACAGTACAATGTACAATTATTATGTCTCTTGAGCATCAAACTTGTTACTGCTGATTCTTGTAAATCTTTTTGCTTATACTTTCATCTTGAACTAATACGTGCCAGATATAAAAACTCTGTCTTGTTGCAGTGGGAGGCGCCCTATTTCTATGTCATTTTTAATGTATCTATTTGTACAATTTTAAAATTCTTATTTTAGTATACATACAAATATCAGTATTCTGACATGTAAGAAATGTTACAGCATCACACTTATATTTTATGAACATTGTACTGTTGCTTTAATATGTGCTTCAATATAAGAAGCAGACTTTGAAATAAACTGATTCTTTTTTAATTCTTGTTCTGGTTATTAAGCATATAAGGAAAAACATAGTGTTTCTAATGTCCCATTTATAGTTCTGACTAATTTACTACAATTGTGACCTTTTAATAGCCTTATTTATTATGTGTTTGTAGTTGGTTTGTTGCCTTGTTAAGTGATTATTTAAAAATCAAGTACATTTTACAAATGTTTTTTAGATTAAAAAAATGTAATGTCTGGTGAACATTTTGTACCCTCTATCTACAGCTTGTGGCTGCTCCCAGAACACAGTAATAATCTTCATATAATACTACTGTGTTTTCTGGATTAAATTAAATGTAATACTTTTCAATATTTCCCATGTAATATGCATTTATCTTATATCTTAGAAATTCCAGAGGTTTCAGAAATGACTTTATAAGTGGACAGGAGTACTCTGTACTTACAATTTACTCCAGGCTTGTGACTTTCCGTATCTGTGCTAAGCTTCTGCGGGTTCTAGAGACTTAAATCTGACCCAATTTAGCTGTAAGTTCCCTAAAGACTGTTCTACCTGACAATTACCTTACCTGAGTAGTAATTAAGATTCTGGCACTTACTTTTTTTTTTTTCCTTTTGATTTTTTTTTTTTTTTTTCATTTATTGCAGTAGAATAGCATTGTCTACTGATAGGAAGACATTTTAATTTGTGATGACAGAAATACAGAGTGCTTTCAGAGTTGTTCTTTGTAATGTATGTTTTTAATTGAAAAATGATCTATAACTTCTTTTATATTAGTTCAGAATGAGCAAGGGATTGGAATATGTTCCGCGCATCAACATTTTCAGCATCTGTGTACAGCTGTACTTCTGCTAAATTTAATATAGTTTGCTGTTTAGGGTCGGAGATCAGCAGCTGCAATATGGGAAGAGGCAATAAATAGAAATGATATAAATTTTTCTACCGTTCATTTTACAGACCCTGTCCGTCATTTGCAGTCAGGTACCAAACTGCTTGATCTGAGAGGAAATCTGATTTATTTGTGTATTGCTTTTCTGAAGACCCCCATATATGTAGTTAGATTAAAATTTAACTCATTAAAATTATGGACGATGTTTCAGCTCTATATTCATAACATATTCACTTGTCCCATTATATCCCTATGTTTTATGAGGCAGTTTGCTAAATCAGCAGATTTGCTCTACAATGTTTATTGTAATATTTCACTTTATTATAGCTGTATGCTTTCTATATAATTCTATAGTTTATTATTAACTCGGTTCAAATTTCTTTGGTTGTTGATTTTTCTCTGTTTATAATCCAAAGAATATTTTGCTAGATTTGCACATTTCTCCATTATAAATTTAAATAAACATTAAAAAATGAAATGAGTATCAATTTACAAATTAACAAATGGAAATAAAGTAAAAACAAAAGTCATTTGTAGGACTCCACCCTCATTGATGCTATCTGGGTTTATTTAACTTTTGAGCAAGTTTTAGAATTAATAACTGCATTTTCTACATTTTTATGTTTAATTTTTAAGAAGGACGTTGTCAACTACATTTTTTAATAGTTTTAAATGCTTTGAGTTTTAGTCTTTATTGTTTGTAGCACTCTCGTAGATGCTTGGAAATAAATTTTCTTTCCCTGCTGGTTTTGTCCTTTTTCATTTGATTATTTTTCCCCTTCCCAATGAATATGCAATTATCATAGTGCTTTATTAAGTTAGTCTTGCTAATCTCAGCCAACACTACCTCTGAAATGCTGGGAATTATACTCATTACATATCATCTGCAGCACCCCCAATGAACAGTGTGTTTTGGCACAACAACAGGACGTTTATTTGTGTTAAACTTCACAGCAGTGGTCGCTGGAGTCTCAGGCTTATAATCTAAAAGTGTAAAAACCAGCCCAGAGCAGCAGTACTGGGTTAGTCCCCGACACAAATCAGAGAAGACGGTGGGCTGGGGTTGTAGTTTGTCGCAGCGCTCCCAAGGATCTGAGCAACCTGGGAAGGGATTTACTTGCACGAGTTACTTTAGCGTAGTCTCTCTCACTTCCTGACGGAGCTCAGGGAAGGACTGAGCCTCACATCCGCGGAAGGCAACTGAAAGATTAATTACAACTTCAGTGGGTTTGAAGACAAACCCTAGTTACAAGGAGGATCACCACGCCTGAGCCAGGCAAGGTAAGGGACAGTAGCAAGTGCAGATGACGTTTTGGCCTCTTTTTTCTCCTCTTGTAAGTCCTGCCTGAGACATTATTTGGAGGAGTGCGGGGGGAACAACAAAAACCCTCCAAATGCCCTCAGTAACAGATGGTGTGACGTGAGCCAGGAGTGATGTTTATTTTGTGAGTGTATGTGCTCCTGCTGGCAAAAATACTGGGCTCCTGTCTAGCTGCTTATCGCCAGAAGAACTTGCGTCTGAGCAGGGTTGACATGCCCCCCATCTCACGTATATCCACAGTGCATTTGTACACAATTTCTCTCATCACCGGCAAGAAGCAATTAGGTATGCAAGTTCAGTGTTGGTTGCTAAGGGAACTCTCAAAACTTACACTGATATGGAAGGGGAGGATTTGTTTGGGATTTTTTAGATTTCCTCTGTCATGTTCTTGCCATTATGTCAAGCAGTTTTTGATACCGTGTCAAGGGGTACAAGCTTGCAAGCTTGCCACCGACATTTATGTGATCTTGTGCAAGATCATGTCTCAGAAACTGATATGACCATAGATGAGATAAAGCTTTTAAATAATTTGCATGTTTTCTTGGCCCTGTATTGTTGACTGACTGACAAAATAAAATGCTGAATTTTACCATATTGGTGCTGATAAGCTTACAGAAAAAGTGAAGAATGGGAATTTAAATCAGGCTCACCTTAGCTTTCCGGGACCCAAAAGCCCCGAATTCTTTTGTGACTTCCCCATCCAGCAGAATTCACAGAATTATGTGTTTTTATTGAAAGGCCCAGTAAACAAAAATCTAGGTAGACCCTGTGCAGGTTTCCACTTTGGTGACTGATCAAAATAGTGAGCTACTGTAACCAAAGCTGAACAATCAGCACCAGAATCACATTCTGGGTTTAAAAAAAAAAAAAAAAAAAAAAAAAGAGAGAGAGAAGAAAAAGGAATGGCTTGTGAAAGGGAATGAGTGAGCTTGTCAGAATTAGTTAGATGCGGGTCTCTGGAGCTTTGCTCTTGTTTTCACTAATTTGGGCTGAGACTGGGGATCAACCAGTCTGACCCAGTTCCATGCCCAGCCATGTTAGTGAACCAGTTTTCCATTATTTAATATCACTAATCTCGGCATTTGATAAGGAAGGCTGTTTCAAATCCTTGACTGACTGAGCTGGGCTGGCTACGAATACCCAAGTCACAAGAAGAACAATTTTGACCAACTCCAATTTATAGATTCTTAGACATTTGAAAAACATGCTTCTTGTCGGTCTGCACAAAGTCCTGGGCCTTGCCTGCTCACCAGCTTTAGCTCTGTATTTGTTACTGCCTCCCTTAGTAACTGCAAACCCTGCTTCCACAATTAGGTCTTCTGCCTTCTCACAGCAGAGGAAGTGCAGAAGCTGCGACCTCACGTGCAGGTAGCAGCTTTGCTACGTGCAACACGGCAACTTCATGCGTGCATATGCACAATGGACTTTGCCGATGTTCAAGACCTCCTATCTCCTGGACAGAGGTGGTGGGTTGTACACACCAGGGGCAAGCGCTTACACATGTGGGGGTTTCTGCAGAGTACATGGAGCATTTCAGGTTTCTCCGTGGAAAGAAAGAGAACACAGATGTCCAAAGAGGGGGAGACTTGCTTGGACTGTGTGTGACTCTAAGACCTCTTTCCAGGTCAGAGAAGTGTCCTTTTCAGGAGTCTTTCAGACTTTCCATTGAAGCCAATTTGTGTTCTATAAATAATTAAATATTAACTGGGGCAGGGAATTGAACCTGAGATTATCAAAATCCTTGTGAGTTCTCTAACTGCCAAACTCAAAGCCTGATTTTTTTTTTCTTTTCTTTAATACTTGTTTAGTCCATTTGCGGTAGCTTATAACTGCATCAACAACAGCAACAGCCGAAACACAGCCAGGCTGGTGGACAAAGCGCTCCATGTCTGGGGGGAAAATTGCTTTGGAGTGGCAAATTGGGAGCGGCAAATTCATAGCTGGTAGTGATGGGGAATAAAACATCATCTTCTTCCCCATACTGCCAGGAGGTGAGAAGGAATAGACACATCTCTCATTTTCTGCATTTCTTTTTCCTTTTATGTTTGTAAAATCAGAACCAATACCTAATTACTTATCTAAGTGTAGGAGAAGACTTTTGGTTTGTCTTACGTCCTCTTGGCTAGGGCTGTTTGTTAGACTCTTGATTACAGTGGTGCTCTTTTAAAATAAATCAAAATAAAAACTTAATAGTTCAACCTTTAACAGGTTTAAAAACTAGAAAGAGGAAAAAGAACTTTGTAGTTTTTTTAAAGCTATCCCCTGAATTTTAAGATATGCCTAGCATTTTTGGTGGTTAGTGAAAGAGACTTAGACTTTGTGACTGCTTTGGGCTGAGGTTACCAATTGCTTTCCTTTTTTTTTTTCAAACAAGTGAAAAACATATTTATTTTAATTGACCAAATCCATATGCTGTTCTCCAGGCCTTTCTGCAAGTGAAGGGTTTATTTTTGTTGTTGTTGTCTTCTTTTCCAACCTAAATCATTCCATGAGCCCATGACTCACTACTTCGGCTGCCAAGGCAAATTTCCTCCAGCTCTATCACCAGCAGGCCTTGCAGACATACCACTCCTCTCACAGAGCTGCTTTATAAATATGAAGCACTTCTGTATTGTTCTTTGTGCTATATGGAGGTCTTAAGGGGGCCGGGGAGTGGGGTTTTTTTTGATTTGGAGCTAGGGTGCTTTCCGGAGGTCTTAAGGGGGCCGGGGAGTGGTTTTTTTTTTGATTTGGAGCTAGGGTGCTTTCGCTTCCACAAGTACAAAACTGGCTTTCCACGTTCACATGCGGTGCTCAGTGCCCTGTCTCTGGGTGGTAAGGAGCAATTTTTCAGAGAGTAATAAAATCCCTCGTACTTGGCAGGGCATCTTTAGAAAGTCCCATTGTTCCCACTGCCAAAGATGGCCTTCCTTCCAGGAGACTATTCTCCCTGCTGCAGCCCAAGCTCATATTTTCCTTCTTATTAGCGTACTGAAGAAAGTCATCATTAATCAAATGCAAGCACATTTAGCAAAGTTCAACGTGTATGAAAAATTTATATCAACCTTTAGGCTCTATGACAGCCCCAAGGCTTCACTTAATAAGTTCTATAATGACTTACTGTTAATGGCTGATTCACATTATCTCTTTGAGGTCTATTGGGCCTTTCAGTAACATTTTCTATTATTGATTATGGAGCTGGTGTATGTTACCCAGACATATAAGCAAAACTGTTGTTTATGTTCTTTGCTTTCTAAAATGGAAAGTGGGATGCATTAAACCATAAAAACTCATACAACATAATTTTCTCTCGTGTTAATTTATGTGGCTCTAGTATAGTGCAATAACAAATGAAAGAGTAGCTATTTGGGGGGGACTGGCAGAAGCTCTTGAAAATTACTAGAAATTTGACATATCTTGTCCATTGATTTAGCAGAAATCTACACTTCAAAACCCATCATCCAACTATCTATAACCCTCAGTCTCAGACGAGGTGAAAGACAGCATGGCTGACTGCCCTAGGTTCTGCAATTTTGGTCGCTAATGAATCGTATTTAATCTCAAGACATTTAATTTCTTTCAGAATTTTATCTGGGGAAAAAAAATGCAAAGGGAAAGGTTTCTGACAACTGAGCACTGCCTACTTCTGTGTCTTTACACAATGCTCCAGCAAATGCTTTTCTCTAAACACAATCTCTCAAGATTGTTCCATGCTCATAATTGTGGTATTATTTTCTAAAGCTTAGATCCTGTATACACTTACTATTTAGCACAATGTTTACTACTGTGAATAAATGGTAGCACTCGTAATAGTAAGTATAATGAGGTAACACTACTGTAATCTTAGTGCTCCCACACTACTGGAAGCTAATATCTCGCACTGTGTTGAAACATCATTAAATGAAAGAATACGAACGCTTTAAGTGCCTACACATACTGCCACTGCACTGCAGACTACTCTGAAGTGCCCGGTGTCATGTAAAATTCCTTTCATGGAGAAAAATTCCTCCAATAACACTTAAGCATCTCACTAAGAACTACTAAAATGGCATATTTTTTTGTCATGGCCACCCAAAGAGAACTGATTGTGTGTTTCATTCATGTAAGTAACAATATGCAACTGTAGTAAGGGGGAAAAAATAGAAGAGGAAAATATAAAAAGCCATAGGACTTGCTTTAAAACATTTTGAGAAAGTGAGAAGAAAGCAGTAGGAATTCATCGTGTTGAGAGATACTGTAAATCACCAGCAAGGTCAGCACCTACTATCGAGCCACTATAACATGTAGATTTAACAGAAGTCGTCTTTCTTTCTTGCTGCCCCCTCCTCCCCTTTCCCATCACACTTGCAACTAAATTTGCTCCAAGTGCAGAGACGCAAGGTCAGAAGCCATCTTACGGAACACACAAACACACCAGTACCTAGAACATACATACGAGGCATTT